CATGAAATACTCCTGAATCATTCTATCCACTGTATTCCGCTGCAGCCATAGTGTTCAAAGATTTGGTTTCGCGGAGTGTGTTCTGGTCCGCGAGGTTCAAGGTCGTTGGAAGGGTGGATGAAATTGTGCAGATCAGGTAGACACACTGCCAAAAGATTTTCACACGTATTTAGTCTCACTAGGGTTTGCAAAAGACTGATGAAAGGGGATAGAATTCTGTTCTAAGAACATTAGCAGATTTTTAGTTGATCTAATAACTAAGTGGTTTATTATTTATTTATTTATATCAAATGGCAGGCGTCTTGATGGTTATCATTAGCCCTTTAGTTGACTTCAGGCTTCACAGACGAAGGAGGAGGAACATCAAAGTGAAAAATGTCGGGAGGGGATGGGGGAGGAGAGGGAGGGTGTTTCAAAGATGTAAAAGAGGCAGACAGACAAAGGTAGAAAAAAGGTGAGTTGAGTAGTGTAGAAGTTGTCGAATATGGCATACAATGGGGTGAGGGTAGTTTGAAGTCAGAAGTCAACTGCCAGTTAATTGACTTTTTTGCCGTATGAGTATACGTTGCCTAGGAGGTAAGTCTATCGCACACTCCAGTGGTTTATTATTTAGATGAAAGAACAAGGCACTCGCATATAGTCACTTGAGTCGAACCATTTGCCCATGTTCTGCTATTGTTTACCGCAGTAAAACTTCGAAATGGGTTAATATTTATTGGACAAATGCACTCAGTTGGTGCACCTGAATAAGTGGAAACGATTCTTCTGGAAGCATGATTTTTCGCTTCACAAAAGTTCGAAAAAGGCTTGCAAAGGCAAAACTAGACTTTACATACACACACACACACACCCCGTCGTACAAACAAGACCGACTGCTTTTTAAAGCAAACTGAGATGGCTATTCCTGCGAGTTCTCCTTTTGTTCCGCAATATATTGGTCATTCAACCACAGGGAGGTGCTTGTTTTCCGCCGTGGGTAGGGTAGGGGGGGGGGAAGGAAGGAAGGGGGGATATATATCCCCCCCAGTAGTCCTTTTTTTGGACACACATGGTTGTGTGGGTTTGTTAGGGTGGAACAGAAGGTCAGAGGAGGAAATTAATAAATCATTCAAGGATATCACCAGATGGTGGAGGCAAAAAAATAGGAAGGAGAGAGAGGAGGTTTTGTGGTCGAGTTGGTATTCCATCTGGTTACCTGTCAATATTGTCCCGAATGTCTCTCACCATTCCCAAAAATTATTTAAGAATAGAAGCATACAAAGGGGGTGGGGGATTGAGATTTCTTAATGTTAGGAAAAATTTAATTTGAATCAAAACTGTTAAAACAATAGGTTGGCGAAAACTACTTTCAACTACCGAAGATAATGTCAAAGAAAGATCAATGAAGTAGATGAACGAATAAACAACTTTGTTTGGATCTCGTCAAGCTAATCATGTAATTGCAGTCGACCTCACTTTTCCCACTTGGAGCTGGCAAAGTAAGCAATCGATAAAAGCCTCAACCGTCTCGAGGAGAAATGACATTGTACCCGTGTGATGCAATATGAAAACATTAATCGAATTAGCAACCAGTAAAGTAATCACCGAAATAATGTTGAATTATGGAGGCTTCGTGTTCGATGGTTAATGTTGGCATAATTTGAATGCCAGTAAAAGCATTCTTGTCCATAAGGTAGGGCGCAAGTGTCCGTTGAATAATTCTATTGAATTATTTCCCCCCGCGAATATAACCTCTACCAATTTGAGCCGCCAAAATTGTAGAATTTGGATTCCGACTAGTGTCTTTTGCGTTCCGGTTGATTAAAACTCCTTTCTCCAGATGGTTCACGGCTCATCTTCATTCACCTCTTCTTCTTTTAACATCATAGTCAGTTCCAGCCCATTGGTACATTCTCCGACAGTCTTTGTTGTGCCTCACGTTCAGTCAAGCGTTATCAGGCCTAGGAAGTAGTTGCCATTTTATCCGATACATTTTCTCCACCCCCCCTCCCTCATTCATGTGCTCATTTTAAGCAGAGGAGGTAAGCGAATTTCAAATTACTCATCGTTGTCATGGTTGCATTGTTCATTTTTTGGGAGGTCTACTATAGCGACAAAATAACTCCCTATTTTTTTGTTGTTTCTATTAAGGTATCTGATATGGACGAAAATGGGGAAGACCAAGTTGAATGTCGTTTGGGACCAAATGACAATTTTACTCTCCAAGCCGATTCGCCCTCCTCCTCCTCCTCCTCCGGAGGCAAATCCGATCATTTTGGATTCGATTCTGGGGCCTCTTTACCAGAGCAACTGAGCAAAAGAATCAATGAGTACCGAATTCTTGCCAAGGTACCCTCAGAGCATTCATTCGTTACTTCCACAAATCTCCAAAATCGTTTGGACAGGGAGACGACGCCGACTCAGCTCCTCACCATCATCTGCAAGGATAGGAATGAAAATCAAGCTGAGCGTCGAATTCGATTGCATTTATTGGATATTAATGACAACCCTCCAGCGTTTACTAATGGTAGCTTCTTCAATTTCACTGTCTCAGAGAATAGGGAGCCAGTTGGAAATCAGCAAGTTTGGTTGGGTCGAGTTCAAGCTACTGATCCAGATTTGGGAGAAAATGCTAGGATCACCTATCATCTGGCTCCAGAACCAAATGGCTACCATGATGGTCAATTCGCTTCCGTTGCACAACAACTCTTTCGAGTTCAAGCAGACACGGGAGATATTTACGCTCAGATAAGTCTAGACAGAGAGAATGCTCCAGATCACGGTGTCTACACCATGAATATTCTTGCAGTTGATCATGGAAAACCCCAATTAACTGGAACAGCTAGAGTTGATATCACGGTCCTAGATGTTAACGACTGGCCTCCAGAATTCACTCGAGATATTTACACTTTTGAAGTTCCTGAAGATATAGAATTACGAAAGGTTGTCGGAGTGGTGGAAGCAATAGACAGAGATACCACAGCTGGACCAAACACTATCACCTATCGTCTGAATCCTCCTAGATCAGGAATCGTGCAAAGGTCATTGAAGAATGAGAGTCTCGAGCGAGTGAAACGAGATACTATGCTTCTTCATCAGCCCCTCTTCATGCCCCATTTGGAACCCTCCAAAGTCAGAGATGAGAGACCACTGTCCTACTTCTCAATCGATAGCAGAACAGGGGAGATTCGTGTGATCAGAAAATTGGATCGTGAAACAAATAGCTACTTCACATTTGAAGTGCTTGCAATTGATTCTCCACTATCAGGATCTTCTCAAGTATCTATGACCCAGTCCTCCAACCAACTCCAACAAGGTTCAAGAAGAGGATTCAAGGGGGGAGAAGTTTTTACAGCCACAGCAACGGTTGTTGTCACCCTGACAGACGTCAATGACAACGCACCAGAATTCCGCTATCCAAACACATCGATTATACTCCACATGGCTCCAGGAGAAACCCTGGGACACAAGATTCTCACTGTTCAAGCAATAGATACAGATTATGGCGAAAACTCTAGAATCTCCTATAGTATTCGATCAGAAATTCCGAATCCATCTGAGGGCCCAGGGACGGGTAATTTTGCTATTGATGAAACAAGTGGACTCATCTTTCTAACTAGGTGAGTGATTTTTTTTTGCGTTTCATTTTCAAAAATGAAATGCAAAATATCTGTCCAGAGGATTAGAGCTTAAATTGTCTTTTTTTTCTTTCTCTCGCTCTTGGATTAGACTGGAATTAGGTGAGATGGTGGGGGGGTGGAGAATAAAGCTAAATCCACAAAGAAAATTAATTAATTAATTAGTTAATTAATTTCAGTTGAATCTTATTTATCGACTATTGCCATCCTCTGGATAATTATTTCTCTTTGTTGTGAGTATTAATGCCTTATCTGATTCATTTTGTTTCCTCTAAAATTAATTATGAGGATGGTAAATACACCACATACCCTTTCGCGGGATTAATTTATCACGAAACTGATAATCTCCACGCGGTTTCATGAAGTGATTAATCAAATTTCGACAGTTGACTTTACTTCTACTAAACCGACAAATTAGCCGCAATGTAGCAACAATTTTTTTCGTTCATGAAATGAAAAAATGAAGATAAAATTCAGAAGTAATCTGAACTGAATTAACAAGTTGAAGTAATTGATATTTTGGAAGTTTCTAATGGCCATTTGAAATGGATTAGGGTAATTTAGTACTCTTCCGTAGAAAATATTGTCAGCTTAAAGATCTTATTGGACCGTCTCAAGTCCTGTGAGTTATTTTACTCACAGCGTAGAAGGTGATGTGTGTGTGTGTGCACGCGGATCAAATCGGAGAGCGAGGTTCATTAGTGCAAACAATCAAGTGAGTTCCCAGGGTGTTACGCCACTTTCGATTGGTTTTTAGAATATCAATTTTCAACGTCTCAGACACCAGAGGCAGCTGGAATCTGGATTGATTTTATATTACTGCATCTGTAGCTCTGTAAGCAACGTCCGTCCTTCCTATGCATCAGCAATTTACTGGTATGGTTTACCACTTAGGGGGCTCACACTGACAGTTCCTTGACATGTCATGACTACGACATCTGAGGGGGATGCATAGGGAGGAGGGAAAGTAATAGGCACTGTCCCTTGACAGGAGGTGGCATTAGAGTCCCTCTGTCATTTTCCTTAATCCTGATGAAGAGGGGGGTGGGGTGGGGTGGGAGGGTCTCACAAATGAATGCGAACTGGTGATGATGGCTAATGACTTCTGTAGTCTGGAGAACTACTTATCTTCTCCGAATCATATGCATATACTCAGCTTCTATTTAATTGGCAGTCGGGTGTTTGTGTGTGCGTGCGTGCGTTGTCCCTTACCGACGCGATATCTACTTACCGTTATTGACACTACGCATTTGCTTTCCTGACGTTTCGCTGACATTTTGTTTACCGAAAGGGGGTGAGAGAGGGAAAGGAAAATTGTATTATTGTAAAAGCAAGACAAACTTACCAAGGAAGGAGAGAAATTTGATTTACAACAAAATTCCACTCATTCACTTAATTGTGTGCTACCAACAGAGCTTAATTTATCCAGAAGAAAATTGAAGTTTATTCAGCTCCAGCCTCTAGTAATTGACCCACCAGTAGATTACAGGGGGTACTAACAATTGTCGCGTTCATTATTTGTGGAGTAAATCAAGTCCTAATGGTCCGCTGAGCTCCCTAATTGGCAGTTCCTACCCCCACCCTTGAATTGCATTCATTGCATCTCCACCTTAGTAAATGTCAAGTCATTGGACTTGGATGCTCATGCAATCTCTCCGGCATGTTCAAACAAACAGCCTTGAAACCTTAGCGAAGGAGTCACACACCAGCACCACTAAATACTCTTAACTACACCAGCTTTCTTCTGCAGCCTCGCAAATGCTGCTCCTGAAAGTCAACACCCACTGTAGCCCCCATCCCTTTGGCTCCCACCCATCGATCTCTGCAAACCTCTCAATGATCGATAGTCGTCCAGACGAAAAAGGTCTTAACCGCATCTGGACTTGTACAGAAATACAAAAGGATTAAAAGTGCAAATCCCTCTGTTTCTCATCTTTTTTCAACGGAGTCAACAAAATGGGAATGAAATTTCCTTTCTGAAGTGCTAAATAATGCTGCTTACTAATTGAAGACATATTCCTGTCGGATTTTACCAAATTAACTGACAAATTAATCATTTTGCCAAATTTATGGCGTAATTCGTAGAAATACTAATACTTTTATTGTTTTTTTTTGATGACAGGCCCATACAAGGACCGGTGAACCATCGATTAGTTGTTGAAGCTTGCGACCACGGGACTCCACCAAGATGTACCTCATCACCCCCTATCCAAATTGCGGTGTCTGAGGACGCAAAACTTGGCGGAGATAGAGGTTCGGAAGTAGTCGGGGGTAGTGGAGGAGTACTATCTTCACCGAACGGACCACTCGGTTTTCGTGGTTTAGACCGATCCAACCCTGATCCCCGATACCCCGACTTAGATGGTTTCTATGGAGATTTCTACAATCCTTCCCCACCCCCACACCGTGTTGAAGTTATTGCAGCTTGTCTCGTTGTCGTATTTGGAGTTTTACTTCTTGCTGCGATAGTTCTTGTCTGCCTTCTGAAACGACGTTCATTGGGAAATGGACAACACCAAAGGGTTCAACAGAACCCTCACAATCAACAACAGCGGTTTGATTATGCCTGCACTCCGCTTTGGAATTGTCAATGGTCTCTCTTTAAGCACCAAAAGAATGTGAATTCCAACGGTAAGCGCGCTGCTCAACACTACGACCCGAATCATGTCCAGGAAGGCATGGGTGACCCCCGATTCTCTGATGCTCAGAGTATTGAATCGTCTGTGGCGAAGGGAATGCTTTCTACGGATTCGATCACAAATGCATTGGAGGAGGAAAAGAAACCGCTCTACTACGATGTAAGTTATTCCTCTTCTGGGAAATTATATTCTCCAGGTGTGTTGATCATCAATACACACAGCAGAATACTATATTCAAAGAGGTTTTGCTTGAGGTAGAAACAGAAGGTACTTATTATCTACCTTATCGATCAGAAATAGGTGGTTCACGAAAATCCGCATGCGTTCATAATAGTTGATGGAAATGATAATTCTGTAGCCGACATTTTAGCGGGTGAATATAAAATCAATAGTTACACTCCAGTAGGGACAAGATTGAAAATCAATTAGACAATGAGAAAGCCGGTATGATCTTAAACTCGGAATCCGCTGTTAAGCCAAAATTATCTCCTCTTTCAGGGACTTGGGGTTCTTGCTCTGGACTCAATGGGTCATCGAGAAATGCGCCAGCCAGTAGAATATTCTACAGCCAGTGGAAACGGAGGAATGCAAGTTCCAGTTGTTTTCACAGGAAATCCTCCACGTGTGTACGGAACTCTTCCGGTTGTTTCCACTATCCTTTCTGACAGTCATACTTCTGGCGGTACAATGATAGCAAGACCCGGTTTCCATCAGAGATCATCTCGGGCGCATCCTCAAACAAACATCACTCCTCCTTCGCCAGACTATCAAAGTCTAGACCAACTCGCTTCTCGACCTGTCTGGCAGACTAGTGGTGTAGATATGTTCACCTCGTCAAGAAACAATCGCCAAATCAATAACCTCCCACCTCCAGCGTCTGCTTCTGGTTATGGCTGTCTCATCGATCCACCTCGGAGAAATAACTACTATGAGGTATCGAATAACCCTTCGACAAATCATTCTCACCGACAAAGAAGTGCTACTCTAGGACGTCTGGTTACCATGACAGAGGAAACCGACAATGAGGAGGAAGGTGGACAAATGGGTGGAGGTAGACGAAGGCAGGGCATGTTGGGGTCTTCCAATAATGCGACCACCAAATCTTACTCCCAATTACAAGCGATTACAACGGGAAATACTGAGGAAAGTGGAGAGGATAGAGACCGACCTACGAGGTACACTTATCAGGCAATACGAGAAGCAAGTTTTGTGTAAATAACCGATCTCCTTCCCGCAAAAAAAAACAGCATTGTACTCCCATCTCTTTACTTGCTCTTTTTGATTCTCGATGTTTGTGTGTGTGTCAGTATGTTTCACCCTCACTCTCCTTCCACCGTTTTTTCGGTAATTATTACTACTATTACTCTTTCTTTTATTTGCGACTGCATAAATAACAACCGATACACACACGAAAGCGAAATGAGTTCTACCTCGGTAGTGTGGAGCCAGTGACGAAAATATATGAGTTAGGCATCTAAGTACGTTAAGGATAGTTATCATTTAAAGGTAATGAGTTTGCTGACGCACTTGCTAAGAAGGGGACAAAAATTTTGCAAGGCGTAGACTGGCCGATGTCTTTCCACACAATGAAGGCCTTAATCAGGAGAGAATTCAAGACCTCAAGCTCGAACAAAGGAGAAACAGTGAACAGTAGCACTCTCCGACATAGCCGACTGGCCAAGAATCGAAGACTACGTACCGGACACGATTGCCTGGCAAAACACCTTCACAGATTGGGAGTATACACTCAACCCACATGCCCTCTATGTGACCTACAGGAGGAAATGGAGAAGACCCACCTGATTCGATGTCCAGTTCTAAAGTCAACGACGGAAAGCCAGAGGTACTGGGAAGCAAGAAGACAGCTAATGAACTGCTATTAATTAACTGCTATATATGTACCCCCCACCCTTGGGGGAAGCTGAAGTCAAAGTTTAAGGGCTAATGATAAATATCATAAAGCCTGCCATTTG